TTTACACTAAATAAATACAAAATATCATTGATAATCAATATCTGTGCAGAAATACTTTACTAAAGTGACTAGAAAAGATTGTTTAATAGCGTGAAATTACTTATGGTAATAAAAAATAGAATTTTATCATTGTTACCTCATGCTGATCTATCAACGAAATTATAAGCGAGTCACGGAGAGTGCAGCGAACGCATTAAAAAATTTATAGCATTTTTCAGTTAAAAATAACATGACAACTGATAACAGCATGCGATAAGGATCATCTAATAGCAATAATTGCAAAATATTTCAATACATAACAGCACTTCTGTAAAAAGTTTTAGATCATATCCCATTATGCCCCGCCGTTCCGTTATGCCCCAGGTTCCCCTACATGCATTTTTCCGCCACGTGACACGAAGAAAATATCCTGTATGTGAAATGTGCACTGCCCTCCACAAGTTTGGAAACACCCTATATTTTGCAGATAAATAGTGGCACAGCAGCGATCTGTGCACGTGTTTGGTATAAATGTATCATAAGTCATTTAAATGATGATATATTTACGATAATTACGGGTGTAAATTTAAACGCGATAATCTCTTTAGGTTGCCAGTAAATAACAATGGATCAGTTTAGTCGACCTTAACTGGCACTTGTTTGATAAATTAAAAATTATAACGTGCGACGTTTCGACCACGGGTTTGAGACAAATTCTGGCAAGCACAATTCTCAATAAGTTACACGCTTATCGTAGATGCAAATAAAGTTACAAATAAAAAATAAAACTGATTGTCGCCCTTCTGCAAAATTTACAGCAGCGACATTCTAGCGATACCTTCTGGAAAGTTTAGGTTTCATGACTAAATATTAATCCTTCACGTTGGATAAAAATGAATCTCGGTGCCGCAACTAGAACGATAAGGAATAGAATTGTTCATGCACCGCGGTCAAACGTTATAACTCAGCGAGAAATGACTCGTCGATTGACGTCGAAAGGATGTCGAATCGATATCAACCCCGTCAAATTGGTGTTGAGTTGACGTCGAATTTGACGATGTCCATGTCGATTCGACATCGTTTCGACGAATCATTTCGAGGGGAAAACCGCTGACCAAAATCTTGTACCCACCCAGTGAGCATTACTTTATTTTGTTATCTTATTTTATCTTATTTATCTTGTTTTATCATATTTTATCTGTATAATACCCCAGCAAGGCCTAATGCCCGCACTAATGCCCCAAAAATGCCTAGTAATACCCAGTAATGCCGCAAATCTGTACACCACAATGCCCTCAGCGGTTTACCCCTCGAATCATTTTTCACCAGAAATAGATGGGCGCCACGGAAAGACTTTCGGTCTAACAATCGCTAATAGTTGAGATAGAAATTCTGTTTCTCAAATTTAAATCGATTAAATACAAAACGTAGGCCATTTCGCAGCATTAAGGCTATTCATTTATACACCTCGGGTATATTTTCGTATCTGGAGAATTGTTGCCGCGGTTGCGAGATAAGTTCTTTTTTCCAGTGAAAAATATAGCGCGCACACACTGCGCAAGGTCGCGGAGACTGCGCCAAGATGATGGTGGCACGCGAATCATCGCATCGACGTTGAGGACCGGTCGGTCCCCAGGTACGCCTAACCCGCCAGGAATATCCGCGTACACGCCCCCGCCGTGCCAGAATCGTATAGGGACTCTATACCGTCGAGTGCACTGGCCAAGGCACGGACTCATCCGAGAAATATGGCCGTACATTATTATTAGATTATGTTTTCGGCGCTGGAGTCGAACAAGCGCGCGCGAACGCGAGCGCGCGGCCATTCGTTTCGCTCTCGGGCCCGCGGATTTTCGGTTTACCGGCGCTTACCTCTCCCGCGGCCTCTCGGCCAGATGTTGCGACGCCGATGCCGCGGGCCAGAGATACCGGGAGATAAGCCTGCGACCAGCGTCTTTGTACGATATTTAGAAAAGATGCGAAATTCGAGGAAGACGCGGAGTCAGAATTCTTTGGCTCGCATTCATGCCACGCATTTAGCGCGAAGTGTGACCGTCTCATCCCGAGATTTATTCGTTTAACGTGAAGAATTTGTCGGCGAGAACCAGTCAGTCATACTCATGGTTCAGCGTAGGATATAAATAAGTCACTTCTCCCACAGAGAAGAGAGATATTACGAGAATATTAAACGAGTGAATGACACGACATGTATATATATATTTTTTCTCTTACCCGTTAACGCGAGTAAGCTTTTAAAGAAATGATTAGCGAACCTTGCGGCATACCTCGCAAAGTAATTTAAATGGCCGCGTTATTTTATGAATCCTGGTACCCTGTGAAAGTCAATCGGTGCGTTATCGCTGAAAGCAGTGATAAGTAAAGCACTGAATAATTCCGTGCTACACTCGCAACTGTGAATCGGCGAATATTCACTATTCTCAGTGATACTCTACTCTCTAAAAGTCAATCAGCGGATTATCACAGAAAACAGTGAATAGTCACTGATTTACAGTTACAAATATACCACTGCAATTTTCAGTGGTATACTTGTAACTGCGAATCAGCGACTATTCACTGTGTTTTCAGTGACAATTCACTGAATGACTTTTAGAGAGTGCAGTTTCAGAAATGCTGACATCGGTTTCCCTTCTCTCTTCACGTCGTCGCGCGCAATTAAAACAATTTTGCAGCATAACGACACACCGTGCAACGTGGGAGAAAAGATTTCCCGACGAGGTCGCTCATTCATTAATCAAGAGGAGCGATGCATTGCGCATGCATCAAATGTCTCGATAACAAATGCGCTGCACGAATCGCGCGGATACTTTACGGCCCTCCCTCGCGGCTTATCTCCGTCCTATCGCGAAAAACGGGCGAAATGTAGCCGGGGCATTGTAACCGGCAATTTATATCGAAGCGAGATAATCTCTGACTCACGTTTCGATGCGCCGGTGCGCGAGCCACCCTTTCCGAGGACCCTCTCAGCAGCTCCGCGAGCAGCTCCGGACTCGGCCCCGGAAGTCCCTCAAGTTTGGTCGGGCTGGAGGTCGCCCGATGGTGGCAGGGCGTGGGCGGCTCGGAGCCGCTGTTGTTGTTGCTGCTCGCGTTGTACGAGAGATTCGCGGAGATCTTTCTGCGAGGACGAAGACCTTCCTCGAGCGCGATGTCGGTGGTGCGCGGCTTCGCCATCTCGGCCTCCAGCATCTGCCCGTAGGGCCCGCGAAGGGGCCTCTTGCTATACCTACATGTTTCAAAGCAAGAGAATGTTAATATCAGATGCCTATCAGCGCGGTGTACACATTGAGGATCAAAAGAAACATTTCAGCTCTCGGTGAAATTTAAATTTTGCCCAACGTACTTGTGAAAAAATGTAGTCTACACCTTCGAAAGATAGGGAAGAGTTTCTGATTGTTACATTTGCGCGCGTGCTTTTTGAAAATCCTTCCAAGCGCTGGTTAGAATTGAAAATTATTGAAGCCTGATGGCAAAACATGAACTTGATAAAGTCTTGCGAGAAGAAACCGAACAGGCCATCGAGACACTAAAGTTTGAAAATGAGAAAGGAATACGTTTAAATCGTCGCATCTCCATGTCAGACGCACTTCCGTTCTATTTCGATGGGTCTGGGTGTAGGTTCTCCGGTTACCTTCGAGGCGTGTGGCCCTCGCAGTCGGACAGGTCGCTGGGCGTCGCAGGTGGCTCGTCTCTCTCCTCGCTGCTCTGAGCCGACAGCTTGTTCCTGTCCGCGTCCAAGGGCTCTGGCCATTGAGTTATGTACACGCCTTTCCTCCTCTTGCTGGTATCGCCCCGGTATCGTCTCGTCTTGCCGGACGGCGAGGACGCTTCCGAGGGCGTCTCGCTCGGCGCCTCGCTACCCTCGCTCGCTTGACTCAGTCGCGGTTCCTCCGGGGGTGGTGTGATGATCACCTCGTGCGGCTCTATCCTGGTCTCTAAAAACCATTTATTCACGACTCTGTTATTCCTGCTCACCTATATCACACGTCAAAGCGGAGCGCAAAAAATTACCTGCAGCAACAATTTTCTACTCTCTAAAAGTCAATCGGTGCATTGTCGCTGAAATCAGTGAACATTCACTACTGTTTTCAGCGATGATCCAGCGATTGACTTTTAGAGAGTAGGTAAGAAAAAATAACTGAGATATTCCAGCAAGAAATGACTCATCGAACGACGAATCATTTCTCACTGGGATCTAAATGAATAGCCAATGCTGTGAAATCGCATGTTTTGCATTTAATCGATTTAAAACAGAAGCAGAATTTCCAATCTCAACTGTTAGCAAAAGTTAGCAAGAAAGTCTTTCTGTGGCGCTCATCCATTATAACGTTTGATTGCGGTACGTAAACTTAGTTATATTCCTTACAAAGATTGTTGTCTAGCTATGGTACCGAAATTCATTTTTATCCAATGTGAATGATTAATATTTAGTCGTGAAATCTGAACTTTCCAGAAGATATCGCTTGAATGTTGCTGCTACAAATTTTGCAGGCTACAATTTTCTAACAGGCACCAAAAATGGCGATAAAAAAATTTTTTTTTAGTGCCACGTTTAATTATTTCTGGCAATCAATAATATGGTCAGAGAGAAATCCATATTGGAATTAATAAAATTTAAGCTTCAAACTTTCACGACGCTAAATATATTTTGTTCGGAAACTGTCGCGTGAGTTTGTTCCGAAAAACACATTTGTATACTTAAAAACTATATTTTAAGACTAGATATAAGAATAGAAGCAGACTCTTAAGCGTTCTCTCAAGCGTATCTTCACGGCTTGGCTATACTTTTGCTAGGAACCCGAAAACTTAGCAGCTTTAAATTCCATAATCCTTCTTAAGTTCCCACTCCCCTCTAACACGCTGTGAAGCTAAATCTTTCTTTTAGATTGTGAAAGTCAAATTGTTTAGTACAAAATGAATTCTAAGAAATTACTTTCTTTGTTATTTATTTCTGTGTCGATTCTTTTGTCATTTATTAGATAATTGTGGGTGAAATTTTATCTTTCCTCAAACTTTGGGTGTAACAAAACTGCACCCAACTCGAAGGTCGCTCCTTAGTTTTCGACCAAACTGGAAGTTCCAATGATTCGCGTGAAAATTTACCGTTGCAAAGTCGCCCTCGGAGAGCAGAGTTTGTTAACATGGGATCCGATCAAGCCAGGCATTCGTGTATCTCGCAATGTCAGAGACGATGGATAAAGAGTAGCGCGGGGTTCGGGGGACGCGGGAGAGAACGAGGACTATTTTGGGTGCATCGACAGGGTACAAAGGTGCACGCAAGTTCCATGTTATTTTGCGTGGCACTATTTTCAGAACGGTGGGTGCCAGAGTGGAAATAGACGTTTGAGCGTCATTGAGTTATAGCCATCTTCATTGATGACTTCACGCACGGCCGCTCTCACGGCTGGAACCCCCGCGCTCTATTCACAATAAATGATGAACCGACGCGCATTTCTCAACCGATGACGACAGTATCGCCGCCGCCGGTTTCCTCGCCTTGTTCGTCGTGTTCGTTTCCCGCCGTTGTTTCCCCGCGATGAGCAACGCCGCGCGAAATTCGGGCAAGCAGATCTTGCCCGCGCACCCGCGCACTCCCACGCGAGTGTATTTCCGTTTTATATCCTACTGATTGTGAGATATCTCTCACGCATACAATCGAGTCGCTATCGCGCGTGGAAACTTGCTCCTTTTCCCCGAGATTACGCGAAAGCGTGCCGAGAATTGCATATGTGATTCATTGTATTGAAATAATACCGGAGTTAATAATTTTGGATTGAAACTCTAAACCAAAGTGAAATAAAGTCAAATAAGGTGACGAAACAAAATTTTGATTACGTATTAAAGCGCGAATATTCTGCCACGGGCTTGGCGTAGAGATTTTTTCCTTTTATTATAAATAATAAAATTAAGTAGAACATAAACGAACGCTCCTAACGATTACGGGGATATTTTTCTTGAGATGTTAAGCCAACGAAAGACGGACGCTAATAAAATGAAATAAATATTAAAAGAAGGAATGAATATTTTGAACTCAGAATCTAACCTTTTTGAATGGTTTCCTCCACGATATTTCCCTCGACGACCGGGTACACAGACTCGTGGCCAACGAGCTCAGCGGTGGGCGCATCCGTTTGCACCAGATCGACCCTGGGCTCAATCTGGTTCGTCTCCGGAACTAGTGGTTCCGGGCTGGTGAGTGCGCTGGAAGTCGCCAGACTGTCTGAACCATCGCTCCTGGGCCGGATCTCCTCGTGGTTCCCTTGCTGCGAAACACCCAGACCCTCGGCAGAACCGACGGCGCTGTCGACGCTGGGCGTCGACGTCCTCGGGCTCTGTCGATTGGGGCTGTTTTGAGGTGTCGTGCTACCTGGTGTGACATCACCTCGTCGACGAGGCAGCGTGCTCGCCCGAACGTCTTTGGTCTCGGAGCGATTAGACGTTACGATCGGCTGGGTTTTCTGTCGATTCGCTGCAAGAGGAAAGTGCGAGTTCGCGCTCAAAGTAAAATCTGCATCTTACAGAAATTCGACGAGCGACCAATAATTTCACACCCTTGTATTTCTTCCTCGGTTTTATCTTGTGGCATTTTAATTATAATAATTCACGAATATTGCACGGGTCCGATTTATCAGCAGCAATGTATTAACTCTACAAGAGAGTGAACGTAATTATAACAAATATAAATAGAGAAAATCTCTGGAGAACAAAAAGTATAAAAGCAATTGTTTCTATTATGCCGATAGAATAATTACTTCTAGAATCATATTATTTTATATCAAATAAATGCTGTGTATTTTTAATAAAAGTATAAATTTGTTGTTACTAAATGTAATGCAATATTTCCACCTAATAACAATGCAGATAAATTATGATAAAAATTAATGTTTCTCGAAATAAAAAAGTCGAGAAGGTAAGTAATAGGAAAAAACGTAAGGCAGATTAAAATTTTAGTTACCAGCATGTTATTGTTACTAATCATTGCTGCTGTTAATTGTATTATAGCGAAGCTTTCAGTATGAATTCAAGTGGTCTCTGCGGATACCTTTCGAATGACGTATTCCAGAGATGCGTGTTACGCGCGTTTTCAATAATAACTCGAGTACACTTGCACCGAGCAGCAGTGAGGCCGCCTCTCGGTCGTGAGAGAAGGCAAGAGATGCAGAGAGCACTAGAGGAAATCCTAATTACCTCCTCGAGTGTCACGTAAGTTTGGCAGCGCTCTTAGGCCGAGGAGGTGGACCATTCCAATAATAACAAACAGACCGTGCAAGATGAGAGATCACGAAGACGCGAGAAGCAGCGCGCACTTCGTAGACGGAGTTCCGGGGAACGTGCTGACCGATTAAGATGCACGCGATACAAAGTTTTATTCCGTACAGTAAAATCGGATAAGTAGATCGATATAATTTCGTTACGTTTCCCCCTCAACGTGGCAAATACGAAAAAAAAATGCATGTCGCGTGTCACACGGAAAGGAAAATGTAGCTGTCGCAGCTAAAAACTGCACGTGGCAGCTGAATTTTAGTTGAAAATACAGACAGCTACTATTTAGTTGTGACAGCTAAATATTTTGCTACTGCGCTTATTATATTAAGTGCGACAGCGCATTGCTTGCTGTCGTTTAGAAATTTATAGTTATGACAGCAAAATGTGTTTAGCAAACCATGTTTAGCTGCGGTAGCGAAAATTTGTTTTTAGTGCAGTTATGGTGTTTTTACATTATTGTATGTAAGTGTAGGCGTCATCGTTTTTATATGCCATAGAAGAGATAAAATTACGTAAAATATGAATTGATATTTTAGCTTCATGCAGAATCAAACCGTGAGAAATTAAACATATTCCATATTTTTCTTGATTTTTGTCGAAGAATCATTAAATCGTATTGTATGAATTTGACCGTATTTTACTGGACAGTCGATTTTGATTGCAACACTCGACATAATGAATTGTAAATTTCACACTGAAGTAATGTTAGTGACAACAAGTGTAGACATCCAAGCATGCTATCGTGCAATTATACGATAAAATTTATTCAAGCTCTATACAACATAAACAGAGCAGCCAGATAAATAGACTTGGCTTCTGCTACGTCCGCTCGCGGAAGGAGGATTTGGGCAAGCGCAGAAAAGTTCTGGCGACGATATTTCAGAAGCACCTGGTTATCTGTCCTCGTAGCCCGTCTTTCGTGCGTAAAAGGTGTCTCGAAAGATTTGTTGCCGCGGAAGCGTGAAGTGTTTCCGGCTTGCCAATGAGCCGCGACGCGTTTTCGCGCTTTCGGTGTCGTCATAAAGTTCTGTTAGCTCTTTTACTTCGTTACGTCAACTATAAATTATTGTTTTAACCTTTCAATAATATGTATTTCATGACAAAATTAATTTAATATTTTTCTTAGTAATAAAGTTATTTTCTGTTGTACTATACGTGTCTTTATGACGTGTTAAAGTCAAATTATTGTATTAGTAAAGAAAAGTCCCCTATTATGAGACAGGATCCTAATATGAGATAGCTGGGTTTCTGTTAAATTAACATCAGTTGATTTCACCATGAATTTATTACCCTTGGAGCGAAATCTGTTTAGCAGAAAATTCATTGTTAGATTGTGTAATCGTAGCGAAAAAAAAATTGTAATTAAATTTGGGTGTTGAAAACCTGCTATCTCATAATAGAGGACTTTCCTCTAAAGTGTAAGTTCTATCTTTTCTTCATCATTTCAGCACGATTTAATCCTGTATTATTAAAAGCGCGTAAAATACTTAGATATACGAATGTGTGAAACGATTGAATCTCGCGATGATTTAAGAAGTTAATACGGGTCAAGGATGCCAGATGCCTTATTACTATCATTAGAAATTCGAACCTTGTTGACAGACGCACTTAGCGCTTTTCTTATTTCTAGTCTTTCATTATGCAATCAAAACTACCGCGGTATGTAGTTCAGGGTTGAAACCTAATACAAGGCTGCCGCTGTGGTGTTACTTCAGTTCCGTGTTTCCAAAAGTGTCTTGTGAAGACACGTGCGGCTCGTGGATTAAGAGAAAGGCTCCACGGATGAAAATAGCATTGGCCGCATTGTAATCGCTGTCGGATTTAAAAGCAACATCGTTTTTTCTCAGAGATTCGACCGGGTTATGTTGCCAAAGAGCCTCTGCTCGCCCGCCCGTGATTACGCCCTCGATTTTCCTCCGGCACGATGACGATAAAGTAAATCTTACGGTGGACGCAATCTGCATCAGTCTTGCTGTAATTGGTTTAATTAAACCTAGCTCGCGAGACGCCCCTAATGAGCTCAGCCTGCGAGTCTCTATACGGCACACGGGAGCTTACCTTGATTAAAGTCCACCTGGCCGAAGGAGGCACTCCTGTAGGGCGCGCCGGACCTGTGAAAGGCGAGCAGCCCACGCGGCTCCAGCCTGGTGATAGCATCCCGGGCCTCCCCGTCGTTGCCGCCAACGGAAGCGTTCGGGTTATCGCACAAATCGTCCACACTCGTAGCACTGTCCACCACGGAATCACTGTACTGTCTCAAGTGTTTCGCCGCCTCCGCATTGGCATTCGGTTTGCTCCTGAGGTCACTGACGTCATCACTGTTTCTCTCGGGTCTGCTTGATCTCGAGGTCTTCCTCGAGTCGTGGCAGGACTTCCGGTATATATTGTTTCCCGACCGATCACTGAGGCACTCTTCACTGACACTTTCACTGCGGACCATCGTCTTCGGATTTTCTTGCTGCTGCTGCTGCTGCTGTTGATGCTGTGTCTGCTGATTGTTACCACCATGTTGACTGCCCTCGCTGTATGTATAGCTGCGATGGGACGAGCGACCCTCACAACGGCCACAACTTGGATTCAAACCCGTCTGTAAAAATATTAAAAAAGAAATGCCAAAATTTGATTACTCTGGTCTTACATTTATCTGGTACAAGTGCGCGATTTGATTCAAATGGCATATATACATCGACTTTATTTGTGGACTGATTTTAATTAGATGCTTAATGTCATGCGAATAAATCGGAAAATAATTTATGCACCGTACGCAATTATTTAAGTATTATCGGGGGTCAAATGTTATTGAAATTTGCGTAACTTGACGTCATGTTTATTATCCCTGTTACACACAAAGTAATAATGTTACTATTGACGTTGTAGCAAGAAATTTATTGAATGCAGCGGAATAACAGAAATTTAATGTATGAAAATTATGTCGAGCAAAACGACAGCCGTTTATGCGTGTGTCCCTTTGTGTAGATTATGAGCGAGTGATCACATCTGTATGCGCGTTGGCATGCACCGAGTTCAGCGAAATCGTGACAAAGGAGTCTCGCGAATCGTAAAGTTCAGCAAAACTCTTCTCGGAAAGATGCGGCAAAATCGGCATTGAGATTTCATTAATAAAAACTCGATGTATCACCCACATCTCACGAAATACATTCCGTTATACAGTTCCATTCTATAGGTCTTTCTTATTTTTTCTCAAAAGGTAATAAAATAAATACTTAAAATATTTGACAGCAATGCATACGTTTCTTCCTAATCCTCTCGAATGCTGCGAATTGAAGAAAGATAAACATTCCGTTTTAATATAATGCAATTACGTCTAGCTATGCAAAGACATTTTCTAAATACAATAGAAGAGTACGTTCCTCTCGTTTGCAGCATTAAAAAATTACATTACATTTATAAAATAACTTTTTGCCCATCAGAGAAGATGATTTTTTTTTTAAATCTTGTTGCACATATCAATTAATTGTTAAATAATTTCTACCTACGTCTGATCTCGTAATAATGTTCAAACGTTAGTAATAAGTAGACACTCTTTTTCTTGGCAACGGCGAACGTTCGAAAGTTATAAAAAAAGTTGAGTTGTGTCAAATATCACTCGTTCGTGCGTAGCAGAAGACGTCGGGCTATCGTCACCATGACGTTGGGATTCCTCACCTGTGGATAATTTTGAGACGGCTGGTATCCGCTCGGAGGAGGGGAGGAAGCCTGCACTCGCGACGGTCTTCTGGGTGGTGGGACCGGTGCTGGTCCCTTGAGCTTCTCGGTGAGCTCGCGAAGGCGCTCGGCCTTCTCGCTGCGGGGGCCGGAAGAGGACTTCTTGCCACTTCCTCCTCCGCCCCCGCTCCACCGAAACCTGTGCAATCGGTCCACCGCTATCACTGCTGGTTCCTGCGGGTCACGGGGAGAACAAATAAATCTCACGGCTCGCAGTACATCCATAAAGAACGTCAAGTCGGTAAAAACAAATTGTTTCATTTATTTTTTCGTTCTCCCGCCAATCTTTCCAATGACTCTCTAACCAGTATCGAGGAGAGACTTGCTAGAATCAAATTATCAACTTTCCGCCGATTAATCAAAATATCCGTTGATGAACATTATGTGTTGACGGATCTGCAGCTTAAAGATCAGGCTTTCGTTTTAATTATCGTTTACAGTTCCTTCCTAATTTCCAAAATCTTCGTCTATTTATTACAGAGGAAAATCCTCTATTATGAGATAGCAGGCTCTCAACACCCGAATTCAATCACAATTCTTTTTTCACAACGATTACACAATCTAACAATGAATTTTCCACTAAACAGATTTCGCCCCGAGGGGATGCTGGAGTGATTCTGCACTGTTGGCACTTTCGCTCCTAAAACTGTCAATTCGCGAAAACATTTCTGTAATATACAAATTATGTGGCTTTCGTATACAGACCGACAGTGTCCCACTATTCAGATTAAGTGAAAGAACAGCATGGTATCATTGAAATTAAGTTTAGGAGCTTAACAAGAAAACTGTTCACTCGAATAAGTTATAGGTTGGGTAACCTATAACTTATTCGAGTAAGCAGTCTTTCTTATTCGAGTGAATATACTTTTTATTAGGTTTCTAAACTTAATTTTAATAATACCATGTTGTTCTCTGATTTAATTTAAATAGTAGAACACTATCAGCTCGTACACAAAAGTCACATAATTTGTATATTACACAAATGTTTTCGCGAATCGACAGTTTTAGGAGCAAAAGGTGCCAAAAGTGCAGAATCACTCCAGCATCCCCTTTCCTTTGTACATAATAAAAGTTTCGCTTTGCTAACATTTGTCATGGGCATAAGCGTATATTATGCTTGTGTAATGACTGATGCATGATAATAGCGATGCAACAGTAGGTATGTCACGCGGACGAATGCAGGCCAAAGTGACAGGCCTAGGACATCGGAAACTCATATGCGCGCGTACATAAGCGCCTAGTCGAAAAAGAAGGAGCGATATTCTATTTTCGTCGTCGCCTTTATCTCTTCCCTCTCGGAGCGGCGACAGGCCGCGACGCTACGTGTGAGGTGATCCAAAAATCGTGGCGGCCGCGCGAGTGCAAGATTTTTAAAAGCGATTGAAGAAACCGCGTTGCTCTCGAATGTGCAGAAAGGTCAAGCGTGAATTTTGGCACGCCTCTTCGCAAGCTGATGAATTTCCTTGGCGCGATGAAACCGCGAGCGTTTCAAGGCGAAACAGTGGATGCGTTGACAGTTTCGTAAAATTGAAAACAAAAATTCGTCCGTGGTGAAAGAGCAGATTAAGCGTAAAGCTACCACGCGAGTACATTAAATTTAATTACAAATTTGTTTGAGATGGTATTAAGTACTTTTTATCATTTTTACTTCAATCAAGTACTTGAAAATCGTTCTAGATATAAAATTTTGAGAGGAATATCAACTTTAAATTATTTAAGAAAAGATACTATCAATGAAAATGTAATTTTGTTCAAGAATTAGACGAACAAAAGTTAAGCCCGGTTTCACCAAACGTCGCTTAACTTTAATCGTAGTTTAATTCATGTTTGTCCCTTTCTAAAGGAACAGCTGGAAAGAGACAAAGAACGAATTAAGCTTAAAGTTAAACAACGTTGGTGAAACCGGGCCCCGAGTCATTTTTTTGATCACAGGAAATCGAGGAAAAGATTTCCGTTAAGAAGTAAACTATTCTGAATAAAGAATAGTAGATCTGCCTCGAAAATTGAAGTAATTTCCAACCCGTTGTCGACAAAGTTTACCTTGTAATCGAAGAGATAAAATTCCTAGCGGTGACCTTGAGACCTACCTCGGGGCTGCTGACACAGAGTCTTCCGGACCTAAGCCAATCCACTTTGTATCCCCTGGGACCACCTTTTGCACCTCACCGCGTCTACGCGCGAAACTCGAACGTCGCGCGGGCTACGAACGAGAGCGATCGAAGCAACCCATCGCGAAACAACGATCCACGCGCGGATAACGAAACGACAAAGAACCGAATGACCAGCTCGACTAACAAGCGAGGAACAAACGATCGATCTCGGCACGCGATCGACTCGAGCAAGTACCTGCAACTTGAGCGTCTGATGCTTCGTCCACTGCGCGAGCTGCCGCGGCACGGAGACGGTCTGCGTCGTCGTCGGGACGCCGGACGAGTAGCCGAGCGACGTCGAGGGTGAGCACGGCGTCGTCGGTGGCGAGTACGACGATGTTACCGCCGCCACTGCTGTTTGTGGGTAGTGCTGTTGGTAGTGGTAGTGGTGTGGCTGCTGATGCTGCTGGCTGGTGCTGCCGATGTTCCCCACCGATGTTTGCACCGCGCCGCGACTATTATTAGCGAGCGTCGGCGTCGGCGTCGTCTCCGCGACGCTCGTGGCAGAAGCAGGAAGAGGCGGCGAGCAGCCGCCGGCGATGCTCCCGGAGGGATAACCGCCAGCGACGATCGAAGGGCATGACGACGACGACGCCGACGACGACGACGCGGACGATGCCGCTGTCGCCGGCGAGAACATGGTCGAAGAGGAGGAGATCGCCGGCGGGATCCGCGGGAGCGGAAGGCGCGATCGTGGACCGATGCAGCAGCAATCGGCGATGCTGGCCGTTAGATCGATCGGCGACTTCTCCGCCACCGATCTCTCGGTCAGCCGCTCCCGCGAGTCGCTCTCGTGCGAATTCCGCTTCCGCCGGCGCTCCTGCGATTCCTCTCTGGAGTTGACCGGCGGCAGGTTCTCCTGGAACAGACGGACACAATATTTCTTCGACTATTTGTAAAGCAAACCTTGTTGTCTCTTTATCCCTTTGGTCGTCCTAAAGTTTACCTCATTTCTCCCCTTTTAGAAACAACTTAATATTTTTTTCATATTTAAAGAACCGCAAAGAATTAATTACCGCCAGTACACGATTAACTAATGCAGAGAAATTGCTAAAAGACGCTAACTGGCAAATTCTAATTAAAGAAATTTACTGCGAAAAATATTACCTCAGGGTTTGAACCTGGACTTTCTTACACTCTAGGCGGGCGTCTCGTGTAACCCTGTCAACTCTGGCCGAGGTAATATTTTTCGCAATAAATTTCTTTAATTAGAATTTGCCAGTCAGTGTCGTTCAGCAATTTTTCTACATTATTTAAAAAATCGTATATATGTGCTTCTACATTTTCTTTGGAAATATGTACTTTAAATGAAATTAAAGTTTTTAAAAGTAATCTTTCAAATCTAAGAGTTTACTTTGAGAAGTTACAAGTTTACGTAAGAAATTTTAGAGTAATTTTGGACACTTAAAGTCATTTTTAGATAGCCAAGCCTGTCAAAGTCCCCGCTAGAGAGTCGCGCGGCAAAGCACTTTCTCGTAAGAAGAAAACCACACGCAGTTTTATTATATTATTTTATTATAAATTATATCACATACTTTTCACAATTCTTAGTTTTCTTTTAAATTCTTAGGGTGAGTTTCACAAACGTTGGTCAACTGCTAACCTCAGGTTAATTGATTCTCTGTCTCCTCTCAGATAATAAGATGAAAAAAGATAGGGAGTCGATTGAACTCTGGTTAACAGTTAACCGACGTTTGTGAAACTGGCCCTTCAAGTAAGTTTTAAGTTTACCTTCAATAAAAGTTTTAATTGTCCAAATTTACTTTTCACATTTCTCATGTTTCTAAAGTAAAATTTTAAGATTTTCCAAGGTATATTTTCCCAAGGATTAAAAGAAGACAAAAGGTAGGCAATATGAGCCGATGCTGGGTGTTAGATGCGGAATAGAAAAGTTCAATGTATAAAAACCTTCTTTATAGTCCAATGTTTCGATTCACTAACGCGAACCTTTTCAATGACAAAAAGTAATTAAATATATCGCAGCATTAGTTTTTATGGAATATAACTCAAGAGTAGAAACTTAAATTATAAAATTATTCGGTAAAAAACGGTTTTTATACATTAAACTTTTCTATTCCGCATCTAACGTCCAGTGTCGGCTGATATTGCTTACCTTTTTCTTCTTTTATTTGTTTTATCACTAGAGCCTTTTGATCTTACTATAAAATGCTAAACATCGTACACGGAGAAAATTTTTTCTCAAAATTTACCCTGAAAATTATGTAATCGTGGAACAACATGGCATTTTGAAGAACTTGGATTTTCAGGGTAAATCATTAGTAAAATGTATGATATATAAAATTTCGAAAAACTCTCATAAAGTTCTTCAAAATGCCATGTTGTCCCACGATTACGTGATTTTTAGGGCCTCTCCGTGTATGCTTGATTGAAAAGCGCTCTTATTCAGACGTAAATTGAAATTTACAACCGAAAGTATTAAAATAGAAGATTCAAATCGAATCGCTGAGGAAATAGCGTCGCTAAATTCTCTCGAAAATAGAATTACGCTGCTAGCTCTTCTTCAGGGAGCCTCGTATATCTTTGTTACTTATTCGCTATTTCTTTGTATTTCACAGACACGTCCTCATATCCGCTTTATTTCTCCGTCTGCGACGATGCATCTCCTTCTTTTCCTTCCATTTCTCTCACGTTCCTTAACTTAGGAATACTGTTCCCCTGTCTCGAATGTATCTCGTATTTTTAAACTTACAAGAAAATGACGTAGAGGCAAGTACTACTACGTACTTTTTTTTTCTGAGGACGTATCGCATTTCGTAAATCTTCCTCGTCGCGTTACTTCTAAATGCCCGCCAGTCTTTTTTATATCATCAAGTCCAAGCTATAATATTTTCGGAAGTCACCGGAATCGATAATGGCGTCACTGATCTACACGGCGATAAATAACGGCGATTTATACGAGCAGAATTTGGCAGAGAATGTGTCACATGAGATTCACGTCGGCCGTACGTGCCGGTGTGACGTCAACGGTGCTTATTATTCCGCGGACAAACCGTGAGAAGAAAGGCGGAAAGTCAGAAAGTGTGACGGAGACGAGAATTGAAGAGTCACTTTAAAATCGGCTCAAGTCAGTGACTGGCGGATTCTATTTGTATGATCGGTTCTAAATTTAGATCCTTCAACGTCTTAATTTCGTTCGCGGATCGCCTCTGTCGCGACACGATCGGAGATCGTTACCAGGCGAGGTTCAAAGAGAATAGCCGGTTTGAGAAGAATTTCAAATAAACAAGTTTTCACTCTTATAGAACCATATGAAAAATAAGTTGCTGGAAATGTACTGTTAAATAAGACCGAAATATCTTATATCAAGTAAATTCAAAATTATTTTATTCTAAATAAAATAACGTTCGAAGGAGTTAACGAACCAGACACTGGTGTGTGTGTGTGAATGTGTGTGTACGTGTTAAAAACTTCTATTCATCAAAACAATACATACGTTTTGGCTTTAATCAGATTATCTTTAATGTATTATAGAATTTTAAATACTAACGTTACGCGTACATAAGAAAAACCTACGTTTAAGATGTAACAATGTTTTTTTTCGGCGTGTCATATAAGAGTTCTTTACTTTATTTAAGTTTAAATGTTCAAAACCAGTAAACTGCTATTACTGCAGAAACGAAACGAAGAGGTGGACACGTCTCTTTGTAATTCTTCGGAGTACAAATACCTAACAATGACGTTTTCGCATTTGACACGAGGAAAGAGTTTTGTAGAACTTTTGCTTTCATCAAGTTAACCGATATTTTAAATTGAATCGCACGATAAATGGATAAAGTGCACAATACCTGAGAGATCCGCAGACCATATCTGGTGCCACCCAGAACAACGTATCCACCACCAACGCCTCCACCCGTCATAGCCCTTGCAGCGCCACCCAGCCATCCTCCGAAGCCACCCCCTGTCCTCTGGGGTCCACTACCCCCGTCTCCTCCGCCAGCGCGGGGCATTCTTCATCCTTCCTTCACCCTGAAATTCAAATCGCGTTACAAACGCGGACCAAAAAGACGATCCGGCGAAGGATGGCGCGTGCAAAAATAAAGCGAAACGAAGAGCGATTCTTGCCTCGCGCGAAAGAGATTACGGCGTGAATTGTCCTTGGCTGCCTTGCGCGAGGACTAACGAGCTAGATTCATCCTATGGGATATTAACGATCTCGGTTGAGTTACGGGCGAGCGGCTCACGCGACGGACGCATCACGCACTTACGCACGCAAAATGCGGGCCGCTGCGTAAATTACTGCGAACGTTCGCGCATTCCCCAATAACTGTCGGCTACGATCTTATTTATTTATCGCGCGCCATCGCCGATGAATGAGATTCGCCGGAATTCACGAGCCGCTACCATTAAGAGTCGCAGGCGGTCGCGCCGTTACCGGAAGCGACGAGGCCACTACTTGTCACGGCAATGTCGGCCACGAACTTCTTTCTTGGCTCTCGCCAGGTCCGAGAAGGAGTCTACTGACGTCCGACGGAGACGTCAAAAGAAGTCAAATCTCGAAATATTTTGTATCGCGCACCGCAATTGTAGGGATTACTCCGAATTCTCGCGAGGTCTTTTTTTTAATGGCTGATATAATCGCAACAGAGGTGTTGCGATCGCGAGTCTGCGAGCTATTAAAAAAAAATTCTTGCGAGAATTTGGAGCAATCCCTGCAGTTCCGGTGCGCGACACAAAATATTTTGAGATTTTACTTTAAATAGAGTCGATAAGTGCGAAAAGATTGAATGAATAATTATTTCACGAATTCTCTGCAATTGCACCTTTGTGTTGATCTACTTTTAAATATAAAATAAGGTATACTTATTTACGCACGGAGAGAATTTTCTCTTAAATTTTACCCTGAAAATCATATAATCGTGGAACAACATGGCATTTCGAAGAATTTTATACAAGTTTTTTGAAATTTTACGTTCATTTTACTAACAGAATGTATGGTATTTAATAACAAACGGATATATCCGATTAAATTGTTTATCCGATGAATAATATGATCGGTTTTTCGATCACATTTCATCGGATACATCCATAATTTAATCGGAAAACGTAATCGGAAAAATTAACAATCGGAAACTTAATTGGTTTATCCGATGGAAATTTTTCTCACTGTTAAACGTATACGATGAGTGCAGATAAACAACAGCAGATCATAATAATTCTTAATGACTTATAAAAGTCGTTTATATTTGGGATATTTTCTTTTATTATTTCATTATGAACTTGTCCCATTTTATTTTTAAGCTGTTTACACGTACTTCTGAAGCTTCGTGGTATTGACACGAGCCAATTGCACGTTTTCCACTCATTGTCAGATCAGTAGGAGACGTGTCTGTTAATCCGAAGCAGATCAGTTGCGCGATTGTCGCCTGCCCTTTCCGAATCAATGAGTTTCGCAGATCGCCCGTTGGTCGTTTATCGCAGACGAATAAATAAACAAATGATTAAAACTAAACTGTAATTATGCTGTACAAATCTCAATCTGCCACCTACATGCGCCTCCTACGCTTTCGTTACGGAATAACAGTTCAATGGAACAGCGAACGAGTAGTGACTTGAGGATGGTCATTCCTTTTTTTTAATAACAATATACTTTTGCAAGATACGCTTATATTTTACAATATTACGTAATGTATATTAAGAAAAACATTTTTTGCTATAGTAATTTTGCTATAGTGTTTTTCAAGGAAGAACCACTCACAATTATCAAAGATTACATTGTATTTCTTACTATTGCATTCATTTTATAAACGCTACTGTTTTTCAAACTACTGCACTTATAAAACTAAAATTTAACAAAACAGATTTGCAACTTAACTCTCGAGATTTATAACGGAATTATTCTTGTCCTTATCTGAGATATTACGAAAATAATAACAACCGCTAAAATAAATAACAGAATTGATTGTGAGCTGAGAAGAAATGTAAGAATGCAGATTTAATTGCGATTTATATCCAAGAAGTTGAAAAAAAAATCGCGATTTAATGGATGTCCGTTTAAGTATATAAGCGTGACCGCGGCTGACAGGTATAATGGATGAAAATTCGTTGGAATTCACGCCCAAGGCCTTACATGAAACGTCCGCTCCGAATTTATTATCACCGTTAATGCAAACGGGACGCTATGCTGTGCCGGAAGTTACTCTCGAGTATTACCGGGCTAATACCCGAGGAACCGATGTATTCGGTACAATTGTCCTTCCAGTTCGAAACAGCTTCTTTCCCCTCGATTAGATTTTCGATACAGAGTTAACTTTCTGGCACTGGTAATTATACATTTGAGAGAATCTCTCTACTATTCGTGCAGTATATCCAAGGCATATGTCGAAAATAATTGAAAAGAATTAATAAATACATACATGTATTGAAAATAAAAATTATTAGATCGTGTATACCTGCAGGGGGAGAGAAGTCATTCCTAAAATTTATCCTGAAAATCATTTAATCGTGGGGCAACGTGACACTTTGAAGAATTTTATGAGACATTTTACTAATAATTATAGTAAATACATATGTTACTAGTAGAATGTGTGGTAAAATTTCAAAAAACTCAAAATTCTTCAAAATGCCATTTTCTCCCACGATTACGCGTTTTTTCAGAGCGAATTTAAAAAAAAAATTCTTTCCCCGTGAATATCTCTTTCAAATTCCTTTCATATATTTATATATTCTGAAATATTTATCGCAGCTTTTCAGTGTATCTTACACGGCCAGGATTGAGGAGAATGTTTAACAAAGAAGAACACGACTGGGTATAAGAGGCTTAAACGGTATTTTATCGGAGATGCACGTACGAACGACTCTTAAATATATGTACGTGACTCTATTCTTCGAGAACAGTTACGCGTCACTATCGTCCGTTAAAAGCACACCTTTTACTACTCACATGTGTCACTACCATAAGGTAAGGTCGGCGGGTATCAGTCTTCTTAGATATTCATTGAGTCACTTTATCTGTAATCGATGACGGACTGACGTCGCGAGTCGTTGAACTCGCGCCAAAATGCCGTCGGTGAATTTGTCGCGACGAAAAGGGGGAATTCGGGAAAAAAGAATTATTTCTCCCTCGTAAACGTGAAAAATGTGTTTATTGGCGACGTTATGTCGTTTGGCGTTTATCCACTCGGCCGTTTAGATTTTTCTAATGTGACAGAAAACGTATTTTCGTCGATGAAAATCGGTCGCGGGAACAAGAATGTTGCTTGCCTTCGGTGCACAGTGAACATGCTGTAGAAAATAAAAATTATTCCTGGCGCCCCTGCTTATCTTTATCTCTGCTCATTTAAGTTCTTGCTCTTTTGCAAAAAAAATGCAGAACGACATTAAAAGTAATGCAGTATAATTAAATTGTACTCTATAAGAATTTTTAACAAGGGTTCGATTGAAAGCTGTTAGTTTATTAGATTTTTGATCCTATCAATCTCTTATAAAAATCAGACTTTGTAATCTGGATTTATCTTTGATTACAAAATTTCTTTCATGATAAAATAGTACTATTATAATATTATACTAGTAATAAGATACTAACAATAAGATAAATAATATTACGAGAAGTTATATTTATCTTAATGATTATATTATTACGATAAGCTATGTCTTATTAAATTGTTAATATTAAATTTATTTCTAAAATATATTTTTTCTGCAATGATTAACGCTATGCAATATTATATTCGAGACGTAAAACGATTAAATACAAAAGTGTGAAGCGAGCAAACAACTAGCAAGATGAAAAACAAAGTTATGGACAACACGCGCGAGCAATGCATCTTCGCGCATCGCTATTTGATCGAAGGGATTCTTGCCCCGGTGTGAGATCGAGATCGCTGAGAAAAGGAAGATCAAGTCTTATCCGACACGCGGAGCACGTAAGAAAACCGAAACGAAAGCGCGATTCTCTCGCAGGCTCCAGCTGGATCGCTTCTATTATAAACGCGCGCGTTGCAATCCATTCTGCTTGATCCATCTTCCAATTTGAATCAATTCACTCGATTAAAAAAGCAAGTCGGCGAGATTTGCATACAATACTTTCTTTAGCAATGACTTCTTTGTTTCACATATTTCGCGTATTAAACATTTTCGTTCAATATGAGCGTAAAATATAACATTTGCATGTCAAATATGATAATCTCTTTAGATTGCCAATAATAAATAATAATGGATAAGTTTAGTCGACCTTAAAACTGGCGCTTGTTTAATAAATTAAAAATTAAAAATATACAGTGCGACGTTTCAACCACATTTTAAAGAGAACAAACCAACAAAACAATTTTTAATTTGTTATTTACGTATCCACTTGACAAACCATATCTTTAATTGTACTCGTTATATTTCACTGCGTCTCATTTTACACATTACTTTTGTACAATTAGTTTCAAGTTTTATTTTTAATTTTATTTCTATCTATGATAAGCGTGTAACTCCGATTATTGGTTTGTTCTCTTTAGAATGTGTGCTCGATAAGGACCTAAACCCTTGGTCGAAACGTCGCACTGTATATTTTTATTTTTAATTTATTAAACAAGTGCCAGTTAAGGTCGACTAAACTTATCCATTTGCGTTTCATTGCAATAACTTACGTACGTTGTACATTCCTGTTAACATCTCGCAGGCTCTTTGTCTTTTCTATCATTCATACATTTCTGAATTTATTTTTATGAAGAAGAAACATACATTTTTATACAAACGATGCAAAATTTTACTTGTTACTATTGACGGCTCAATGCCGATCCCGAAAAAGGCAAACTTTGAATAAAGGAAAACAGCCGCATTCCTTTTTGCAGAACATTTGCACACGAGGGGGCAACACGTCCCGGTGCAAATAACCGATAAACATTCGCGATGCTTTGTCATTGCGGCGCAACGCGTCGCGTCGCGAGGTTTATTTGCGAAACGATAAGCACCCGCGTCAAAAGTGCATTCCCACTGTATTTCGACGGTTTTGCGCCGGGCTCGCTACTTTACGTCGTAGA